GTGAACCATACAAAGTTGACGTTGGTGTTGAAAATCCGGATCTTGTTCCAAATACTGAGTGCAGAAGATCTCCACACTGGTTTCAGGCTAATGAACACCTGTCTTGGTGTGTTTCCGATTCTGACTTTGACATCCTCGTCTGTGCCACCGCCACTGCCGCCTGTAGTTGAAACAGTGTTGCCTCCCTAGATAGGTGAAGTAGGTTACTTACTTTGAGTTTCTTCAGCTGATGGTGACTGAAGTTTGTTGTTGTTGTTGGTTGGGTATCTTCATCACCTCTGTCTTGTTAGTATCTACTAATCTTGATTTAGCTAAGTTTTTGCTGTCTGTTATTATATTTGATCCTGGTTGACTGTTTTGACCTATGTGTTTGACCTCGGCAGTTAGACGGGAGATCCTAGAGTGGTTTGAACAGCAGATATGGCATATGGTAAAAATGATAAAATAATCACTGTCGTACTAATAATAGTGCGACTGTGCAACTTGATAGGGAAGTTGTTGGAAAGAAGTATTTTACCTCGCAGATAAAAGCCTCGCCCTTCTTTTCATAATAATGAACAAGTTTCTACACAGAATAGGACAGATGAAATTATGTAGCTTGAGGTTTCTGGAGATTTAATCTATTTCAAGTTAGTATTCATCACAGACTGACACTAGTTGGAGAACTACTGAAAACCTGGGAGTACTGGACGGCTGTTTCGTCCTAGCATGAGGTTCTTCAGGGAGACACTCAGCGAACGTGTTAACCATTCAGCCCGTAGGTCGGAGTTCAGCAGTCTACACTTTAGTACTTCTATCAGTTCCTAATATAGCACGACTATCCGCCAAGGTTTTCATTTGTCTTTTGATGAGATGCTGTGACCTGCGGGGTCAGTCAGTAGAAAGTGTAGCGGATACCAATTCAAGCACTGAGTGGGTAGTCACGCCATGTCGTGAGTTGACAGAATCAGGAAACGATGCACCGCTGAATTCCAACCTAGTGGCTGAATGTTTAGCGTGTTCCCCGAGAGCAGGATGTAAATGTCCTGAGTTCGATCCACGGTTGAGTCATGGGTGTATTCTACTGAGGAGTTCCATGCCGAAATGAAACAGATGTCCAGTTTATAGCAAGCAGCTTAAATGGAAATCAGCATATTCAGTAATCAGTCATTAAGTTATACGTTTTTGTATTTCAATTTTCGTTTCATGTCACCTTGTAGTCGGAATAACTTTATTGGACAATTTTATCCTTCAATTGACCAATCAGAACAAGTCACTCAACTTTTGACCCAGTGGTTTTAAATTTGCATGAAAACTGTTGAATAAAGTGTCTTCTGGACACCCACATATCAATCTTTGTCTGCATATATTTTCTTGGTCCAGTAAAGCATAGGGTTCTGGGGGAGAAGAGTCGTTATTCGTATAAAGTCCAAATGTCTTATCACGTCAGTATCGTTTGGGTATTTCTTATTATTCATTCGGTCAATTCAGCAGTGCTCTCAGGTCTTCACTGGTTCTCCTAATGATTTCAGTTCTTGACGAATACTACCTTAAAATATCCATAGACGTCGAACTCTCTCTGTCTTCATGCATACAGACGATATTCATGAAGTTCCTGTCACTAATGTCAATGTGAGAACTTCAAACCTTCAGGAACTTCAATGCCTGTGTAGTGCAAATAACGCTGTGTTCGATATTTTGCCCACTAAAGTGACTTCGTTTCCTCTATAGATACTTTGGTAAGATGACTATAGCTGGTTAGGTACTGTACTTTTTATTACTTATTTCATAATTACTTGATCACTAGACATTAAACGGTTGTCAAACATTTATATAGAGTCCTATCTTCAGTAAACTGATGCATTAAGTTGAACAACACTGGAGGGGAAAATGATGATATCACTTCGAATAGTTATGGTAACTAGCTTCTCATACCTGTAAGGGTAGTAAAAGCGTAGCACTGATGTTTACCAAAAGATATTCAGCTTCATTTTCAACGGAAATAACAGCGATCACAGTATTTATCTTCCTATTCAATACAGTGATTCGCCTGAAAATAAAACCTAGAATCGAACCGATTAAAGTAAGGTAAGATTAACAAAGGATGCAAAGGTTCCGGGTGCTGTCACAGATTTAATTAGATCCATTAAGGAAACGATGAAGAAAAAGGTACATATCAGGGAAGTTTTTGCAAACAAACTTCACTAACTAGTTAGTTCTTGAAGATGGCACTTCAAATGACACATGGAAACCTTTGAAATGCATGTAAATTGACCTAGTTTTATAGTTTAGTACTCTAATATGCAACCATAATGCTCCTGGGACATTGATATTATTATTATTATTATTATTATTGTCCCTTGTGTTCCTAGTGGGACATAGGGAATCAGTAGCACATCTCCAGTGCACTCTCTTCTCTGCAAACTTTTGCACCTGGCTCCACGACTGCCAACAACCTCTCATTTCTTCCTCACACGATCTCCTCCATGTCACCCTCACCACGGACGCCCAACTCGTCGCTTCCCATCTGGGTACCACTCGAGTGTCAGGCCTGGTGCGTCATGTCCCCAGTCGGTCTTCTCAGTGTATGCCCAGTCCATATCCACTTCCTCCCTCTGCATATTTCTTGGGTGATAGGTTCAGGCTTCGTCGGTTCGTTGCCAGAGTGAGTTCCTTCTTCTTTATTCTTATTATTCTGGCCATCTCATCTGAGCTTCAGTAACCAGCCAGTGTAGGCTACAGTTGTTGATGAATGTCTGTAGTTTGTTGGGAATGCTTTTCGTAACGCACCAAGTCTCTCAACCATCTCTCGCAAAGAAGCACTGACTTACTTGACTGACATTTGTGTTGAAAATGTGGATGGTGTTCACGCTTTATGCTGAGTGCAGCAGATCTCCACACTGGTTTCAGGTTAATGAACACCTATCTTCATGTCTTTCCGATCCTGGCTATTTTGACGTCCTCGTGTGTGCCACCACCACCGCCACCGCCACTGTCGCCTGTAGTTGAAATATGCTGCCTACCTAGATAGGTGAAGGAGGCTACTTCCTTCAAGTTTCTCCCGTTGATGGTGATTGGAGCTTGTTGTTGTTGTTGGTGGTGTTGGTTGGGTATCTTCATCACCTGTCTTCTCTACATTCACTTGAAATCTCGTTTTCACTCACTGCCCTGTCTCTTCTGTCAACTTGTTGGTTTTCGCCTGTAGATCTTCAAGTTTGTGTGACGTTAGACACAAGTTATCGTTGGCAAAATCCAAATATTGTAGGATCTTTTCTCCGGTCCAGCGTATCCCTCTCTTCTCGTTCCTCACTGTTTGTTAGATGATCCAGTCCACCACAACACAATCAGGAATATCATGGGTGATAGTAGACAGCCTTGTTTAACTTCTGTCTTCACTTCAGAGGTATCACTGAGCTGAGGTGTCCATTGTGAATTACTTGGCATGTGGCGTCTTCATATAGTTGTTGAATGAGGCTGATAAAGATTTGTGGTATTCCGTAGTGTTGAAGCAGAACCATGAGATGAGGTGAAAGTAAAGGACTATAACAGTTACTAATTGAGTATCCACAAAATTAACTGACGAAGGTGAACTAAGATTGCTAGTTAAACTGAAAAGAGTAACATTTTTGATATTGGTGTTATTTTCCTGAGTGAATACAACAGGCAACTTGAACTAACACTTAACTCGTACACTAGATACCATCGACTTCAAACCCCAAATCAAAATAAAGAAGAAGACTGGTCTAGATAAGAAAGTTTGTTATATCCAAGAAGATTCATGAAATAACCCAACGAGGCTAAAAATCATCCCCAGATGTTATCATCATCAGCATAGGTTATAGGGTTCTTTGTGAAAATACGAACATTTTCTGTGTTCTGTATGAATATTTTATCTATTCGTATAGTTTCTGCAATCTCGTCTACAATTGAATCGTGTTTCAAACCACTTATTCATGTACAGAGTATTGGCTACACTTTCAATTCTTAGGCAGAAAGTAAGTACAGTTATTCGAGATGAATGATGTTCACAGATCATAGTGAATTAATTGAGGCTTCAAATTACATCCAAAAGGAGTTATGATTGCAGTTTTCACTTCAGAATATATGCATACAGAACACAGAAAAAACATATTTCCAGACAGAATGGTTATCACATCTGGGGTTAACTATTATTCTCACCCAAATAACCCAAAACACATGTGTGCGGGTATAATATACATAAGATATGACCCTGTCCAGAATTTGAAACATTAACAAGCATCAACCAATCAGAGAATCACTTTGAAAAGGGAGGAGGGAAATGAACTACTGGCTATGGCGTGGAAATGGCACGAGAAGGATAATTTAAAAACGTCTAGATTAATAAATAATAATTTCTAACAGTTGGTATGAGGCATTACCATATCTTACCTGCCTAGATTGGTGATCGTTTCAGCTTACTCGTATAGATGAAAGCCATGTGTAACAATTTTGAACGAATAAGGGTAACTAGTCTAATTTTTAAGATATCAAGATCCATAACGATTTGCCTCGGAAATAGTAATCTAATAGTTAGGCTGATGCAAGTTTAGTAAATTTTAGGTTGTTTGTTTTTTAAAACACATTACCCAGCCAGCAACTTCGTAACTTTCGGGCAAAAACCCTAAAATTTTACTTCGGGTGCATTTAGGGCGACGCACGAAATCCCCCGAATGTTCCAGACCTTTTCTCCGAAAGTGTTAAAAGTCCCAAAGTGTGCCCGAAGTTTCTCCCCTAAAGTGTCAAAAGTCACGAATTGCGCTTTACGTTTCACGCTCATCAAACGGCATGTAAAAGTCGTAAGTATGGAAGTAAATTTTTATTGTGGCAATGAAAAACACAGAATACTCTCCTCATATTTATTGCACCTCGTTGACACTCTCTGGCGAACTTGGTAGCCGAGTGCTCTCCGTGTATGTACAGACGAAGATAGGAACAACCTCACCATCTTCGGGTAATTCAGTCACCTATTATAATTGTATTAGGAAACATATTAAGCTTACCGTTTTGCCTTTTTTCTGCCTTTTCACCCTCATCTTTACTCGGTCGCAACTCTTATGAAACCATCTTTGTATATGAGTACGTATTTTCTCGGCGGTCACTTCTTGATTGTCACTCCCGTGCATGTGGATGTTAAAAAGGACGTCTTCGTACATGATAAAATTGAAACGATCACTTGCTGAAAATAATTTTAGACATTAGCGTCTTCTTAAAGGGACACTTGTCTTGCGTAGACTATGAGTACAGTATTCCGAAGTTTGGCTCCAGTAGCCTACCCATAATGCGCCGGACGGAAGCACCGATCTCTGATTCAACGAGGCTGGACAACTCTTGCGCTACAGAATTTCGCTTTACCGGACCAGTCATATCCTGTTCGAATTCTTGCATTCACAGGTCGCTATCAATAAGCCATTTTTCGGATACTCTAAGTCTCTCGGAAGAATCCATTGACGCGACCTGCTTATGCAAAGAACTCGTTTCCATTAAGCTAGCAATCATTTTTTCCATTCTTTCAAAACGTTTAGAAATGTGACGACAACAACTGGCTGAGCATTCGGAATGGTCCGTTTGTACTCCGATGTTTTTCCTACGACTGTGTCGAATGTGAGAGTAAAAGGTGAACTTACCTTTCAGGATTGACAGTAGTCCAACTTGATGAATCCCGCATCACTATAGTGACGCTTGAATCCAGAATTCGTGTAGTAATGTCACTGACTAACAGATAAACTGAAGACTCTACATGTACATACTTATTGTTAGGTGATAGCACACGCTGAGGTACCTTCTTAGGTGGGCACTGTGATTCATGTTCATCGGAAATGTTCACCTTCCATTTTGTTGATTTATTGCATAAATTTAACATATTCTCTTTCCCCTAGTTAAGTTAGAGAGTGTGAATGACCCAGTCATTTCGAACGAATATGCTGTTGCAACATAAAGTTTTTTTGTTGAATATATTCCCCTCCTCAGTTATTTGCAAACGTTAACTCCAAATAATGAAGTAGTACTGTGCATTGACTAATCAACCTGTGAATGGCTAATCCTATAGACCCTGGAAGTTTGATATTCATTAAGATCTAAGGGGTGGGGGTGGAAACGTAGATACAAAACCCTATCCATCTTTCGTCAATCAACACAACCTTCGGAACACATAAGCTATCCAAATATCTACCAAGTATTATTAAGCGTAACAGTGCTAACATTTTCACATTCTCATTTTTGCCTGATATTTGCCTATATTCTTAAAGTAACTTTATTATTGATGGCGCCGTCACTAGCTTTTATTTTTCCCACTGCTTCTGAAGGCTGAACTCTTACTGGTTATTAACTCTCTTAACTTATCAGTGAATTGTGTTTGTCAAGGTCATTTGGTATGTATATATTCAGTATCGCTCTCAACTGTTTTGACTATTGTTGAGACAGTGAAAGCTATCTGTCAACTGTCGTCCGTTTTCTCTTGTCTTCACGTGGTGTGGTATTGTCGTCGTGGTGGTTGACATTCTGATTAGCGATTAGAGTAAATTCTTTAACGTATTTGGTTTGTTTCGCTTGTAGACTGCTAGGTTGTATTACTGATCATAGGAATTTTTAAAGCTGTCTGACAATTACTAGCTCGAAATCGATACTGTTGGTGTAGGGTTAATATCAGGCTGAATGATTCAATGATTAAACCTTTGTTGTTTTCCTATAAAACTCAGCGCACACATTCAGCTAGAAGGATCATATTGTTACTACCAGAGTCGCAGGTAGATTGTCGAGTTAAATGATCGTAAAAATTCTGACCTTTAGGTTGCGATAAAATAAACACAAGTTATGAAATGATTACAGATTGCGTCTACAATCCTCTACCAAAGTACGGTTCTTCTCTATGAGGTGGTCAGCATTGTAGGTAGTGGAAAAATAGAATTTAATTAATGTTACTTCATTACTTTGGGAGTACTTTATGTGAATAGGAATTATTGTTTTTCAAGTTAGTATTCATCTTGGACTGACACCAGTTGGAGAAACACTGGAAACCTGGGAGTGTTGGAGAGTTGTTTCGTCCTACTTTGGAACTCCTTAGTAGAACGCACCCATGACCCCACACCCGAGGCATCGAACCCAGGATCTTCAGGCTCCGCGGTCAGCACGTTACCATTGACCCATTGGGTCAGAATCCAATAATGCGACAACCACCCAATGTCAACGTTGAGTATTTGTCGTCACGGCCAACAGGTTTACTCCGCTAGTCACAACTTCGCATTTGAATTTCAGGAATCATCTCTCGAAGCTAATCACCAATGAGCGCCAGATGGTGACCGGTGGGGCAGACTTAGTGGCCGTGAGGACAAATACTCAACGGTGACATTTGATGGTGGTTGCATTATATCGTGAACTGACAGAAGGTGGAGATATGGATCATGGTATTCCGACCCAGAACCTGTAGGTCCTGGGTTCGATCCCTGGGATGTAGGGTCATGGGTGTGGACTGCTGGGGAGTCCCATATTAGGACGAAACAGGTATCTATTGCTCGCAGGTTTGAAAAGTTTCTCCAACTGATACCAGTCCATGATGAATAACACCTTAAAGAATTATCACACTCTCACAACCCCGAAGTTAGGAGCTGTTCATTTTCCTGACAAACAGAAACCATGCAGAAGCCCTTCGATAGACTATGCAAACTTAAATTGAATAAAATGACTCTGATTTATTTATTTAGGTTTCCAGAAAATTTATTTATTCCATCTAGAATACATAAATTACACTGGTTTGCCTTCTTTATCCTATTATTTATTTACTTAAAGGCACATACGAATGGGTTTTCTTTTTATTCTCAAGAGAGATGCAAGCAGAATTCAGTAATATATAGATAAATAAGTAAATAAATATGAATAGATAATCTGCTTGTTTTCTAGTTTATTGATTTTTAAGATAATCTAAACAGTAATGATACCGTACAGTATAGATAATTTAAATGTAGTTAGTGTGATAGGGACTTTTCGTTTTATCCATTGATAAATTCACTATTTTTCACCGAACAAACTGATTTCTAATGGATACTAAATTGTTTTAGGCTAATCTTGCCTTTAAGGGATACATATTTCATATACGGAGGTTTGGAATCACTGTCAGTATGAATTAACTTATGTGAGTGATTGGGTGGGTGAGCGCGGAGACGCTAGTTGTACAACACCTAGATCGATTGTCAAGAATTTGTTTTTTTCTGCTGTTAAATCAAACTATCTGGTGTATTGGATAATTTCTTCATTTGTTTACAACAGGCGTTAAAAGCAATATGCTTAGATGGATAGTTCTGATGGTATTGTGTTTTTTGAGCTGGATGGTTTACTCGTGAAGCTTTCATTGTCAGTCTAGACAAGAATATATCATCAGCACAGATTTCTGAAAGAAGTGAGCTATGCATTTTTCTCCACAAGTGACTTATGAGCTTATCCTGATGTCCTTGTGTGTGATTGGTTGTTTCTGCCAAGGTTTTGTCACTGTCTTTATGTTTACTTCGATTAGTTATCCTGATGACCGAAAATTCGACCTTCTTGTTATTTCTTATTCCTTGATAGATTGGCTCAATGTCAATATGTCTATTGGTCGCTGACTGACCTAAATGGAAAGCTTCTAAAAATTCTCTGGCATTCCTTGTATTTCCCCTCTCCATGATTTTCACAGACAAATTCATATCCACAGCTGTTAGTGTGCATTAATATGAGTGAAGATATGTTATGACGCTTCACTGCTTGCTGATATTCATGTAGACGGATACGAGAGTGGCGTCCATACTGTCCAACATAGGGCTTTTCGCAATGTGATAATGCCGACAATATCAAGGGATCCGTGCAGTCCGGTCCAATCAACAACGGAGATTCACAAGCTATAACACCAAAGACGATCTATACCTTTACATGATTGTACTGGGTTGGAAGACGGAAACTTTGTTCCCCCTTATAGAGTGATTATTAGCTCAGCATTAATCCTGTGCTGTGATAGACCCTATTCAGATAAGTAACTTGTTGAAAAGTCTAACTGCTAGAATACATGCACCAACCTATAATCACACTGTAAGGTGTAATAGGTTGCCAGTCCTAAGAATATATATAATTATCTGCCAACAAAGGGGGAGAAGGGGGGGGGAAGAGGAGAATGGAGATTGATTTCAGAACCTTTGTTGGTTGAACCAACACTGAATACATGGAATCACAATGACTGAATACATATTCAGACGTACGGAAAATTCTGCTACCACTGAAAAACAAAAGTGCTCTAGGACTGCATAAAAAAGGAGCAGAATTTTCAAGTTATCTGATTTCTGTGTTACAGTTATAGTTTAAGAGTTTATCGATTGACAAAGAACATGTTTACTGAAGTTAATATATCATTCAAGGTGAACACTAAAGTATTCTTTTTAGCAGAATGACAAACATACTTCATTATCATTTTGACTATCTGAGATAGCCGTGGTTTGCCAGATTAATAATTGATACTGGGTGATGATTGAAGGTGAAATGAAAACTTGGACAGCGGTCGGATTTGAGCCACTGCCGACCAGATTTTTATTTCACTTTAATCACCTCTCTAATTCAGTTAGATTTGGATGAGAAGTCGTGACTAAGCAGCCAGCGCAAGCACAATCAAGCTGCAGTGATGAGGCACGAACTCACATGGTAGTTGGGTAAAACCTAAGGTGATTGAAGTGAAATGAAAATTTGGTCAGTAGTCGGACTTCGTAGCTCAGTTCATAGGGCATCGGGTTGAAAACCCGTGGTCACTGGTTCGAATCCGACTGTTCTGTTAATTTTCCCCCCTCCCTTCACTTTAGCCCTCTATTCCTGACCGAGTTTATTGAATCAAACAGACCGGTATCTTGATATTGTAAATCAAATGACAAGTGGTCAAGTGGATTGGATTTCCTCGTCATGATTAAGAGTTTCTGAGGGAAAAGTAAACTGAAGAAAAAGTATCACTTATTCTAGATGTCTCATTCAGCTCATCTGATATCCATTTGTTTATAATCTGGGAACTTTGAGCTGAATACAAATGTTGGAGTGAGAACAAATCAAATTATAGGTTATTACACCTTGAACTTTTCTCTTGTTGTCAATGTACATAAGTGAGTTGGTCATCCTTTTATAAGCTTATTATTTTGTTTTCAATTGGAATATACTTCTATCGTTGATTGCTTACAT